GTGCACTGCTTTCTAGGTTATTTAAACGGGCGGAAAATGCCATTCTATCAGGTATCGGTTTATGTCCACTCTGTATCCCTTCAGCTCAGCATAGCTAGCAGTGTCAGCAAAGGACCACAGAGAAGCCATGCCTGTGGTCACTGACTGCAGCTTATTGCCAGGAAGTCCCTCTGAATCCTAGGAAGCTTTCCTGCATCTTAAGCTTGAGAAGATGCAGGTACTGTCTGATAAGTTAACATCTCTTTCCTTCACTTCCTATGCTCTCCCTCCAAATCACACATTGTGCTTACCAAAATCCACCTGAAGGAAAGTATGCACTGGCACCCTTTATGTTTAAAAATTACACAACAGCAAAGTAGGTTTAAAATTGTACAGTTGTTTTTGTGGTTTGTTGTTGGGTTTTTTCCTAGCTATAACATTTGTGTCCTTTTTCTTTAATATTAATTTAATAATTATGTTGTCTTTCCATAGATTTCATACATCTTCCCTACTGTCAGCCACAAGGGCTAGCAGTTTGCTATCCTTCTAAGTGAGTCTCACAATATCACATGAATCCAGAAACACGTGCTTCTAAATAAATACCAAGAATAACAAAGAAAAATATAACAAGAGGTACAGTAGTGTTATGAGAGAAGGTAACATTTTTCAGGGACATCGGTCCAGCACATTGCTGGATTTATGAAGCCCAGACATTTAAGAAAGAGCTGTTTTAGTCATACACACATTCATAGAATCATAGAATGGTTTGGGTTGGAAGGGACCTTAAAGACCATCTAGTTCCAATCCCCCTGCCATGGGCAGGGACACCTTCCACTAGACCAGGTTGCTCAAGGCCTCATCCAGCCTGGCCTTGAACACTTCCAGGGATGGGGCATCCACAGCTTCTCTGGGCAACCTGTTCCAGTGCCTCACCACCCTCTCCGGGAAGAATTTCTTCCTGATACCCAATCTAAACCCCCACTTTCAATTTAAACCCGTTACCCCTTGTCCTGTCACTACAGGCCCTTGTAAAAAGTCCCCCCCAGCTTCCTTGTAGCCCCTTCAGGTACTGGAAGGTGCTATAAGGTCTCCCCGGAGCCTTCTCTTCTCCAGGCTGAACAAGCCCAACTCTCAGCCTTTCTTCATAGAAGAGAATACAGATGCAGCCCATTCTCATTTGGTGGTTCACCCAAATTCCATACTCCAGCTTTACAGCCTCACAAAGACCTTTAAGCAGAAGACTGTGTTTTCTAACACGCCGCAGGTCCCCCTTTGTGGTGGTGCCTTGGACAAGGGCATTGGCTTTGACCCCTGCCCCATTCAACCTAGGTGAGCACAACCTCGTTTCTGTAGAGGCTGCCTGCTTTCGGTATTCACTCGAAAAGGCAATCAGCCAATTTTGTGAGGATAAAGAAGTTTTTAGCAAAGCAAAGTCCTATTCATAATGCTGATGAAAAAATATCTTCCTATTTGACCTCATACTAGAAATTGTGTGAATAAAAGGAAACTGCCCCAAAAACCTAGGAACATACAGAAGCATAGATAAAAATAATTGTATTTAAAAGGTAACATCCACCATTCAATGAGTAAATAAAGAGCACTGCATTGCAGAGCAGGCATTAAGAATTCATGTGAGTACAGTGAAATATGGAAAATCCGTGATTACATGGGTCATAAATAAGAGGGAAAATACATAGCAAAGATGAACAGTATTTAAATTCAAAACTTTATCTTAAGGACCATCAACAAGTGGCCAACACGTTAGGAAAGAAACCTTACCTAAGGTCAGAGACTGCTTTTCAAAAATAAGGGTCCTAAGTCATCAGCATGGATGCTGATGTCCAGTGACAGAGGAACGCTAGTTTATTGTCACTAACATGACACTCTTTTTATGAAAGGTAACTGGATGTTAATACTAAATTATTTTCATCTATTTGAGACAACACATCTCCTTCACAAACGGTCTATCTTGTCCTGTAGAAGTCAAATGACTATCTACCAGGTTTGTTGCTGTGTAATCCGACCTTTTCCCAGATCATTTATTCTGGCTTTCCTCCCTTCCAGCATCTCTTCCGTCATTATTTCCTCTTGAGAGGATTAGAGCCACACTGTACATGTGATGTCTCTATTTGCTACCTGTTGTTTCCAAAGACACAACATAGATTTTTACCTTACATTTTGTCAAACATTACCTCTTACTGTTTAAAATGTTAAACACCCGTGAAAGCATGAAGTGGTAGTCCAGCCTGAGATACCACAGTAATATCCCAGGTTTGTACATCCCGACTGTTGTATAACAGGGTTACTTGTTGTAATCGTTGGGAAGATGCCTGTTCCTTCCATGTTTCACCCAAATAAATGAGTTTTAGACTTAAGACTCACCTCATGTCCCAGCCCTTCTGTAGCAACAGGGCTAGGTTCTCCAGTGAAGCTTCCCTCCTTCCTACTGTCTCAGGATCGAAGTCGATGATATTTGTGTTCACAGATTTTTAAGGTGACAAGGCCCACTTGCTCATCTCCTGTGCTTTACAGACGAATAACCAGACCTTGGTTTTGAACCCAGTAATTAGTATCTGGCCAAAACAGTGTTTCCTACCCGCCACATCGCAAGCCCAAAAGAGATCAATGGGAATAGGTGGATTTGTGATGTATTACATAATGAAGAGAAAGCTACTGGAAGAAAATCTTGCTTTCCTAGCCTCCACACATGCTGGGCAGAGTCTTGGGAAGAGAAAAACGTGTTGAAGGGGACAGGATTGAAGGGCACCAGCCTCTCAGACCGTCTTTCCATCTCCAAGTGACTGGGATGTTTTACAGAGGAGAAAAGTATCTCGGCCACAAGGTACAAGTCTTTCAGAGACCCTCTGGGTGCCCAGGCTGGCTTCAGCTGCTGAGTGACCTGTTCCCTTCCCCTCATTTCAGCTGTTGCATCCTGCCTCCCCAGATCTGAAAGCCCAACCCTACCTCTGCTCCCCAAAGCATTCAAGTCACCCTCCTGAATTAGACCTGCTGCAAGCAATGGAGCAGTGAGATGCTTTTCTTTAACTGTCCTTTTTGGAATTCATACGAAAGTATCCATTCAAATGAGCTTCGTTAGAAGCTTGCCAATCTGAAATCAGTGAGGAAACAAGACCAAAAAATCCTTCCAGAAATGTGTCCAGCCTGATCTCAACTGCAAAGCAAGGAGAGCTCCAGATGGGGATCTGACTTTTGCCTGGCCTCTGGCACTGATTCACCGCAATGCTTCCTGGCAGTCATTTATTGTGCATCAGTGTGCTCACTGATGGAGGAAAAACAGTATTTATTTCCTTTCACAGAGTTGTCCTGAGTCTTACTAACCACCCCTTGTGCAAATCTTTGGATGAAAGGAATTGTAAGAGTTTTAAGCTCTTAATGTATATTACTTATTGTACTTTAAAACAAATACCATCACACTAAGTAGGAATTAACATTCCAAAGCCTGTAGGGTGGGTACCTTTTCATACACATATATATAAAGGTCATCAAGTGACCTGCTCAGAGGAAGGCTGTATGAAGACAGGTGAGTCTGAATTCACTCATAGAATATCTGCTTAGAGACAGAAGCCTTGATTTTGCTTTAATTCAGCATTTTGTCAATATTGTGAATATTACGGTCTTTCTGCTTTGGGCCTGTGATGACTTTTGTGAAGGGAGGGGGAAAAAAAGGCTGATAATAACTTGAAAATTTTCTAATATGACAATTTTCTTCATGTGTAAACAGCTACAGCCTGTAGCTTTGGATGGGGCCCCGTATGGATTTGCCATCGAATGAATAGGTGTTGGTTTGAGCTATATTGGTCCAGGCTTGCACAGACTCACTCTTAGAGCTCAGACTGAGCTACTGCATGTACCCAGCTCCAGGGGTGTGTGTTTGCTGGCCTGAACAAGCTCACTCAGGAAAAGGGAGTCTTTCCGATGACACCGGTAGACTATTTGTGTTTGTGCATCCACGCAGCTCAGTTTGAAGAGAAATACAGACTAGGGAAAAGGTCACACATGATTAAAATCAGTAAGGCATTTTCAAGTGTTAATAGCGTTGTGTGATTAGTGCCTCTGAGACTCATTGTGTGTTTGGTATCTGAAAACCTCTTGGGGAAAAAGAAAGGTTTGTAAGCCATAAAAAATGCTCAGTTTAAATGCAGTCACCAGCAAGGCAAGTACAGTCAATGTTTTTTCCGGCTAATAGCTACTATCCGATGACACTTGGGGATTTTATTAATGAGCACAACAGACGCATTTATTACAATACTGCCATTATTGTACACAGGAGTTAATACAGAGGTGTTATTACACCAGCAAGATCTTTGCCTTTCATGCTCTTAGCAGGGAGGGTCATATTGCTTGGTTTTTGAAAATTCATTTTTCCAAAAGCCAGGCAAAAATCCCATTGCCTTTTGAACAGAGAGACAAAGGAGGTGCACACTCTGTAGCACATCAGACTTCAAACACCTGTATAATTAAAGCAAAGGTACTGTACCTTCTCATCGTGAAGACAAGCTGTGAGTGTTCAGGAGGGACCAGGTGAGCGAGTGATATGAAGCGACAGGGGCTAAAAAACCCCGGCTGGCCCAGGCTGCCGATGGGGACCTCCCTGCTCCCGAGCTCCCCAGGCTCAGCCCTTCCCTCTCTTTGGGATGGTGTAGTGGCACACGAGATGGAGGAGACATTCAGCCACAGGAGATGCCTGTATCCCCCAAAGGAGGTGGAAATAAAAAGCAGATGGGTGTCCTATCACTTGCTTCTCCTCCCACTACCACTCCCTAAAGCTGGTGGCTGTATCCCGTGCTGGAGGTGAGGGGGGGAGCGTGCTGCAGAGACGGTGCTTCCGCTCCTCAACACATCTTCGGCTAACGCCATCCCCCTCCGGTGCCTCAAGGTGGGAGCTTTTGGCACCCAGATGTTCCTACAGGGCTCCTGAAAGTCAGCACTGATCTTTCCTTCACGTTTTGCAAACCGCTGTGTTTCCAGGTCCCCTGGGGCAGCTGAGGAGAGGCATCACCATGACCCCCGCGCTGCTCTTGCTGGGCCTTGCGGCCCTTGTCGGTGAGCTGGGGTTTGGGTTTGATTTGCCGTTGAAAGCACCCTGGGAACTGTGGGCAGCGGGGCTGTGGGGAGGTGGCGTGGGGCCCGGCCTGTGCGGCACGTAATGCCCTGCGTGGCTGAGGGTCCTTGGCTGCCGTACGAGGCTGCTGGCCGCCCACCTGTGTCCTTTAAGCTAGCGCCTCTGGAATACGGGACTGATGGCAAAAGGGGGTCACAGGCACACCTCTTCTTGATTTTCCCAGCTAACTTCATCTAACCTCTCTCTGCCTGCTCAGAAACGGCCTAACAACTGTCGCAGGCTGTTTGATGGAGGCTGTTCATTCCTCAGTCGCTGAGGAAGCATGGTAATTGGCCCAGGCTGAGGCAAGCACGCTCGTCAATTAACTCCTCATCACATTACAGGAGAGTACAGACATTCCCAGCCAGGATGCTCAGTACTGCCAGCTGTCATCTGAGGGGTCCCAGACATTGGAGTGCATCAAATGGGAAAACCCCTCTGAAATAAATGCGGAGGCTGTGGTTCCCCTCTCCCACACCAGCCTTTAGACCTAACGAGGCAGATGCCTGTTTATCTAAGTTGCCATGAGCTTCATTCCCTTCATCCATCAGAAAAGAAAAAATTTCTGTGCTCCAGCTTCCACTGATAATGCTACTGATGGAGAACAGTAGCAATGATACAAACATGGCCAACGCAAGGAGACATGGGTTATGGGTCCGGATGAATCCCTCATGCTTGGCTTGTACTCATTTGCAGCACGCAGTACGAGATTGCTCTGAGATCTTACTTGTTCAAACACCTCCATTTAATTTTCCAGCTCCATCCATGAGTTACAGTTGCTATGGTGACATAAGTGCTCTTCAAGTCCCCACGATCTCCTGTACATCTGTAAGAGCCCCAGACTGCGGTAGGTATCATTCATTGCTTGATTTGTCAACCTGACAGAGGGATGTTTCACCTTCCATCACATGTGGTACCACTATTCAATTAGCCAAAAGGGAGAAAGGAACACCTTCTCGACCCAAATGGGAGCTGCTGCGAAACCTCCAGACCTGGTGGGAAGTGGGAGGACAAACTTGAGGTCCCATAGTCAGGATCCTCAGCCTCTAAGCAAAGGGAAATGGTGCAACCCCTTTTCAGTCAAAACAGATTCTTCATCAGCCAGGACTTTAGCATCAGCATCCTCACAAAACCCCGCGGACTCTCAGCTCAAAGGGGAAGATGCATGGAGCCAGGTCCTGAGTGCTGGCAAGCCAGAGTCTCATTTTGCGGGGGGAAGGTCCCAGGTGTGTAGCCATCCTACCTCTGGGTGACACATTTTTGGTAATTCCTTCCCATTTCCCTCTTTCTTGCCTTGTGCTATTGCCTCATGTCACTGCACAGCTGACGACCTCAGGCTCAAAGCGCCCAGACCTCCCGGGACTGTGCCATGTACCTTGGACACAGATGCCTCTGGGGCAGACACCTGGCTGCGGGTGTCCAAGCATGAATCTGAATCTGCTTGCCTGTTTTCGGGCTGCTCCAAATTTACTTAACACACCCCTCCTCCCGCCTTTCTATACGCAGAGTAACAATGCAGCTGCTACTGCAGTTTGGCCAGTCGGTAGTAACGCATCTCTCGCTTTTTTCGAATGCAATGTGAAATTTCACCTTTCCGACACTGGAGCCTCATTTCCAGTGGTGCGGCAGCAGAATAGGACTGCAAATGTGCAGTCCCACCTCCTGAGAAGCTGCCTTCTTCCCCTCGTCACCCTCGAGCACTGGCACGGCAGCTCCCGGGCCACAGTCAGAGCGGATAGGGCTGTGCTTGTCCCTCAAGCGCCGCTGCCTGACTCCGTGTAGCTGTGTTGTCCTCAAAACTGGAGTTACTCCTTTGATTCACCCACTCAAGGGCAAAGTTTTGGGTGGGAAGGTGTGTAAGTCTGCCTTTTCCCATGCTGCAGGATATGCCATAGTACGGAGAACTGCTGAGGCAGACATCATACGCCTGAGGAGATACGAGACGCCAATTAAGAGAGTAGCCAGAAACCTGTGCTTGGACCCGGCCCTCATTGCTGGCATCATCTCGCAGGAGAGCCGCGTCGGCCTGAGCCTGACCAATGGCTGGGACCGGGAACAGCGCAAGTACGGCTTGATGCAGGTACATCACGTTGATAAGTTCGGCCAGTTTTGTTCAATATCTTTATCAATGACCTGGACGAGGGGATTGAGGCACCCTCATAAGTTTGCAGACAACACCAAGTTGGGCGGGAGTGTTGATCTGCCTGAGGGTAGGAAGGCTCTGCAGAGGGACCTGGACAGGCTGGATCGATGGGCCAAGGCCAGCTGTAGGAGGTTCAACAAGGCCAAGCGCCGGGTCCTACACTTGGGTCACAACAACTCCACGCAACGCTACAGGCTTGGTTGAGGATGAGGGGCTGGGAAAAGGGCCCGGGGACATCAGGAACAGTGCGGCCAGCAGGACTAGGGAAGTGACTGTCCCCGTGTACTGGGCACTGGTGAGGCTGCACCTCCAATCTTGTGTTCAGTTTTGGGCCCCTCACTGCAAGACAGACACTGAGGGCTGGAGCGTGTCCAGAGAAGGGCAACGGAGCTGGGATCTGGAGCACAAGTCCTGTGAGGAGCAGCTGAGGGAACTGGGGGTGTTCAGCCTGGAGGAGGCTCAGGGGAGACCTGATCGCTCTCTATGGACGCCTGAAAGGAGTCTGCAGAGAGGTGGGGGTTGGTCTCTTCTCCCAAGTGACAAGTGATAGAACAAGAGGAAACAGCCTCAAGTTGTGCCAGGAGAGGTTTAGGTCAGATATTAGGAAAACTTTCTTCACCGATAGGGTTGTCAGGCATTGGAATGGGCTGCCCAGGGAAGTGGTGGAGTCACCATCCCTGGAGGTATTGAAAAGAAGTGTGGACGAGGTGCTTAGGGACACGGTTTAGTGGTGGATGTGGCAGTGCTGGGTTAACGGTTGGGCTTGATGATCTTAAAGGTCTTTTCCAACCTAAAAGAGTCCATGATAACAGCACAGTAATGTAGTGTATATCCCAGGGCCTTACCTTAGCAAATGACTGTTCTGTGTTTAAGACAACACTTAAATGCATTCCCTCTATATCGAAGATTGTGTTTAAGTCTTGTCCTGAATAAGGTCACTTCAATGAATCACAGCCTGGGAGTACAAAGAAGAAGGGAAGCTACAGTGGTGGTTGTGTTCAGAGGAAAACTAATTTTTCTTACTTGACTTTTTTAGGTTCCCAGACAGACACTTTACCCTTTTGGAGTGTGGGATAGTGAAGAACACATAAATCAGGGGTCAACATTCCTGGTTCTTGCAATCAATCAAGTACGGGCAAGACATCCTACCTGGACCTGGGACCAGCAGCTGAGAGGTATGTGATGGGCTATATAATAGAAAGGGACATGCTGACTGATGATGCATGCTGTGCATTTGTAGATGACACTTTTAAGGGAAAAAGAGCATCAGTCTGGCAGATTTTACAGCATCTCTTACCAAAAAAAAAAACCCAACAACCCACCACCAAAAAACACGCAAACTCAAAAACAAACAAACAAACAAAAAACCCCACCAGTTTTCTGGTTAAAAAGAGGCAATCCCAAAACATCAGATCAGCAAGAAGTCTGAATACAGATGGAACCTCCCAGCTCCTCCCAGCTCAAAGCACTGTCCATAGGGCCTCCATGTTCCTGCCTGCAGAATAGTGACTGTGGAGGGATGCCAAGCTCCTTGGCAGCTTTGCTGCAGTGGGAAGCAGCAGGAAACCAGCCCAGCCTGGGAGCTGCCCCACCAGCATGCAGACACCCTGCGCAGGACTGGGTGATGGTGTTGGGCACAGCCTCAGCAGGTTGCCCCTTGACTTCAGTGACAAATACTCAAAGAAGGCCACTACATTGAGCGACTGGGGTACTGCTGGTGAATAGACGGATCCAGAACTTCCTTAAATTCCCTGGAAAAGGCATTGAGCTCAGTGAACGTGAACAGGTCTCAAGTTATCCCCTTATCTGTTCATACTACAAGTGAAATGGCTGTCAGCTGCATAAATAAGGTAGAAACCAACCAACCAAAAGTCACTGGGGAAGGCAGAAATTGAGGCACTGCCACACAACAGGTTTATCGTGGCAGACTGTTGTGTCAAGGAAGCCTGGGATCCAGGTTTGCTTGTAGTCCATGTTACCTGCATGCTGGTTCGTTCACCCTTGGCTCTCTCTTACTCTCCCATCCTTGTTATGCCACTGCCTTTTTAGATTACACCCTTATGTGGGACCAGCATGACATTCCCACCTGCATTTAGAGAGAGTCATGGTTTCCTTCACTATGGAAATAAGGATTTTGCAAAATCAGTCATTTTTTGACAATGCACAACTAGCAATTTCCCAATCAGTTGTGTACATCTGGGGAGATGCGTGGCCCTTTTGTCTAGGAGTTTTTACTTTTAAATCTCTATTTCTTACTTATAAGCCCGTAACTACTCCTTCTTAACTTTTTCCAGGTGGAATCTGCACCTACCATGCAAATATGGGCAACATGCAGGTCTACGACGAAGACCCATGTGACAGAGACAACGACTACTATGTCAACAGCGTGATTAGGCGGGCTCAGTACTTTAAGAGAAATGGTTTCTAACTCATAAACCTGCCCCACCACCAAGCCTCTACACAGACTAGCCCAGTAGTGATCGTAGTACCCAGAGCAGCTCCTCAGGTCTCCTGGCAGGACCGATGCTGGGGGCAACGGCAATGGCACCTTGCTCGCTCCAGCAAAACCCAGCTCCCCGCTTGCTGATGGGCGAGCTCAGCACTGCCTGCCGGAGGACCTGCAGGGACGAGAGACCGCAAGCTTGAGGCCTTTGAAAGGCAGGCAGGGACAGACCAGTAATGTTTGTGCTGGGTCAGGAAGGCGCCTCCTCCCATTCAGAGCTGAACCCTGAGCTGTTCATGCGTCCCCCAGATGTGGGCGTGCAAGCAGCCCTCCATGGACATCGGCTGTGCTCTTCCCGTCTCTTCCATCCACCTCCTTCTCTATCCCTGTCCAGCAAGTGGGAGAAGCCCCAAGTTGAAATCTTCTTTCCCCTTGATTGTGCTAGCTACTGGGCAATGAAGAGACTTCTTGACGAGTCTCTGGTCTCTCTGCACTAGCTGTGTATTCCTGTGGCCAGCCTTTTAAGGGAGAACGCTAAACACACTTTTGTTAATCTCCCTAGCCATGGAGCCTACGGCCATGGTGGGGATGGTGGCTTCTTCAGGGTGAAAAGCAACCCCACAGAGGGGAAATCCTCTGTATGGGAAGTACTGCAAGTGCCATAGCAGCCCTCCGAGCAGGAGCTAGCCCCATATGTACTCGCCCTATGAGCTCTATCACAGCAATACTGCTGGTAAAAAAACCCACAACTTTTCCTGCTTTAGCTTTGGCACCTTTACGCTGGGTTTCTTCCAAGTTTAAAAGCGTTTCAGCATCTGTCCCTCTGCCAGGAATCCCAACATCTAATTAGGAGTGAATTAGCTCTGGGTTTATAAGCTCTGTTTGAAAGTGTTCTTCAATGTGGATGGGTCTGGGTGCAAATTTAGGTTCACTGAGAATAATACTGAGAGTAAGAGAGAAAATAAAGATAAATGTTGAATCCAAATCTTTTTCCTTTTTTTCTTTTTTTTTCTAGTTTCGTGGGGTCTGGTGGGCAGCAACCTGCATCTTGAGTAAATAACCCAACTTGGTGCTCTTGGAATGGGTATAAAACCCAATTTGAGACCAGGGAGAGGAAAATGGTGCTGCAGACTGGGGTGGGTGAGAAGATCTGGGCTGGGAGGCAGGGCGTGAGCCAGCCTTGCCATGGCCTCTCACCCCATACCTGTGAACAGGGCAATAAGGACGCTCACGTTTAACCATTTGAATAGCCACTTCGGGGGCATCAGGGCACCTTTCTGCCAGCCGTCACCGTGGTGTCACATAAAAAGGATAAAGTAATGTGGCAGAAAATAAACCCCCTTGCGTTCTAGCTTGTCCTCAGATATCAGAGGGGCTGGGGGCGTCTAGGTTTAGGTTTTGAGTGATGCCCAATCTGGCACTATCAGCCTGGCCGTGTTCAGTGGGACTGAACTACCGCGATTCCGGGTTCAGTAACAGCACGCTGTGCTCCCGTCTAGCCACGCTCCACGGTACCACACAGCCAGCAGAGAGCTGGCAGTGCCTGATAAGAGACCGCTGTGGCTGGCTACGTACAAGCATGGTTCATGAAAGCGACAGAAACACAGGTTCTTACGGATTGCCGGGGATAGTGCGCTGTCTGCAAAGCACGTGCAAATATTGAGACAATAGATAATACATCATGCTGAATCTAGTCACATAAAACTACTTGAGTGACATAGCAACATAAAATAACTCTAGATAGAGATTTCTAGTTTCCTAGGAAAATATTTAAGAGTTTAAATCTCACACAAGGTGTCCCTATTGGGGGGGGAAGAGTAGCTCAGCCCATCGACTGACCCCAGGACACAGAGGCAATCTGCAATGGTATCTCCCCTGACTTGTTCACGACGGCATCTTCCCCAGCATCCCCCTTTCCCTGAGCCATTTTTATATTATTTTCTACCTTCAAAGTGGAGCTTGAGTGACTCTAGTCACACATACCTTTACTTATGATTGGTGTAAAATTCTCTCACTTCGCTTTTAAAGGTATATATTAAGGAAAATTCAGAATGCACGCTTGGTGAGGGGTGGTCGCACCTTGGAGGTGGGTAGCTTTTGGGGTGGAGGTGTGTTGTGGTATTATAATGACATTATAATGAGCAAAGTTCACACTAAGGACAGCATTTTGTCGAAAACTGACTTACTGTTGGCTCAGGGTGGCAAATATGCGGCTTATCAGTTCGTAGCACCACTAAGTTCCCATCTCTTCCACAATTCACAGAGCCTGGCCATGGAATCTTCACTCCGCTCCACCCTCCATGCTGCTGCGCAGGCAATATTGTTCAGGGAACCACCACGGCGTGGATTTCTTGCATACCAGCTGCAACTGCACTCCCCCCTGAAAGCCCCTTCAATACCATGCCTTTCCTTAATGTGTGAACAATGCCTTTCATGTAAGTTTAGTTTAAGTCACCCCCCATAATTATTCCACACATGGCCGACGCAGAAGCGATGTGCCTGGCCGTCCGTGCCCGGCAGGACAGGGCTGTGCTTCTGACGAGGGTCAACCCAGGCAGTGCGAGAGCTGATCTGGAGACAGCTTTGGCAAGTGGAACAGTTTTAACGCTGTGCTCCTTGTCTTGCCAGTCACCCATCTGCTTACCACCGCCGCAAGGAGAGTGCGTGATTAACGGATTTGCAGGCCAACTCATTTTATCATCTCTGGAGACCAGAGGGAGCTCTAGGACATCTCTTATGCTACTGATTTTTTTTTTTGTAAGACTATAACACAGTTCAGAGTTGAGCTGCCAGAGGTATTAAACTATGTATTATTTAGTCTGCACTATATTTTTAGTAAAGTCATTACTTTGCAATACAAACTTGTGATCCCCTCTACTTCAAATAGCTTACGTAAAATTCCTAGGGTTGAAGTCTTTGTTGCATTATGTTATATAAACCTCTATGTTATACAAACCTCTTGTGTAAACCCTGTGAATGCATTTATGGTAGACCAGTATAAACTTCAAATGGGGCAGGGAATCTCATTGCTGCCTACATGTATAAAGCTGGGGTTTGAGTTTGGAGCATGAAGAATCATAGAATCATAGA